ATGTACATAGGAAAGGCATGTCAGATTCATTCCACTTTCTTTTCTTTTCCTATCCCCACTCCCTTCCCTTCATTCCCCTTTTCTAATCTACTGAACTTCCATTTTCCACCCCAGACTATCATGCTAAGTGAAATAAGCCAAACCCCAAAAACCAAAGGTTGAATTTTTCTCTGATATTTGGAAAGAAACAACTTTTTAAAAATGTGGTATTATTATTTTTTGTCAATTGACCTTTATTTTATTTATTTATATGCAGTGCTGAGAATTGAACCCAGTGCTTCAGACATGCTAGGCAAGCGCTTTACCACTGAGCTACAACCCCAGTCCAGGAAACAACTTTTAAAAGGAATCTTAACACCACTGAGAAAAAAAGAAAGAGCACAGGAAATAAATATATAAGTAAATAAAATAAGACTTTCCTTCACTTTTTATGTTTTCCAAAGTATAGTGATATACTTTTATATATTTAGAACTACATCAAGCAATTTCAAAATTGCTTGATGTAGTTCTAAATGTACATAGAGGAAATATCTAAGATGATTATATTATAAATTGAAAAGGGTAAAATGAAGTACATTTTCTCCACTTTAAATGGTAAAATGGTGACACTAGCAAACTAACGTGCGTGCCTGTGTGTGTGTGTGTGTGTGTGTGTATGTATAAAATACGTAGAACAACCAGTCAAAGAGATATACAAAGTGATACAATGAAAGGCATTATTTCATATCAAAATGAAATAATAAGGAAGTATTCTAATAATTCACAGGTAATTAGGAAAAAGAGAAACAGAACTTCAGAAGTAAGTCTTTGCTTAGCTTGAATGAGGTCTTGGGTTTGATCCCTAGCACCACAAACAAAAGAAAACAAAACAAAAAGCAGAGATCAAACAGAAAAAAATAAAATAAAATGGCAGGCTCAAGCTCTAACATCAATAATTATATTAAATGTAAATAGTTAAACACATTAAGGCAAAGATATTGAAAGGATGGGTTTAAGAAATCATGACTATATATGCTCTATAAAAACCTTCAAATACAGGCAGACTAAAAGTGAAAATGGAAAAATATTATAATAAATAAATAAAATAAAATAAATAAAATATTATAATAATATAAATAATATTATAATAATATTAATAAGCAGTAATGGCTATATTAATGTCATATAGAGTTGCTATCAAAGAAAGAAAATTACCAGAGGTAGGATGATACATAATACAATGATAAAAGTAGAAAATGCAGGAATCCTAAATGTGTATACCTGAAAGCTTCGAGAAATGTGGAGCAAAAACTGACAGAATTAGGAGAAATAGACAAATCTACAATTACAGTTGGAGACTTCCATGGCCTTCTCTCAATATCTATTTGATAAATTAGATAAATGAGTCAGAAAACTAGCAGAGATACAGAACTTATCAATAACATCAACCAATGACATCTCATCTCTATTTATAGAATACTCCATCTAACAAACACAGAATACAATTTTTTTCAAATGCTCACAGGATATATACATGATAGACCACATACTAAGTGGTAGAATAAACCTCAGCCAATTTAAAAGTAAAATCAGACAGAATGAATTTCCAACTATAGTAGAGTCAAACAAAAAAATCAATAAAGGAAAGTGCCGCAGTCCGGCTGCAGCAAAATAGCCGGGGAATGACGAATAACTTGTGTACATTGATACAGCAGGAATGGGAGCCGTTTATTGTAGGACAACAGAGCTATTTATACATTTTGTATAGCTTATCTTAATTAGCATAAACTAGATACATCAGTCAACCAATAAGGAATCTTCACACTTAATGGCTCGCTTTTGTTACTTCTCAAACCACTCCTTCTGGCATTTTGCCAGGCACCATCCAGCCTTGTTTAGAACTCTAATATTTCTCTGGCAAAATACCAGGTGTTATTTTGACTTGTCTACAGACCTTAACAGGAAAGGTAACAGGAAAATATCCCCTTGGTCACACTTCTGAATAATCCACGAATCAAAGAATTGGTCTTGAGTGAAGTTTAAAAATTCACTAAGTTTAATGAAAATGAAAATATAACATAGCCAAATTTGAAGGTTGTTCATGTGTGGGGAGGGGAAGGTGAGAATATCTTTACCTTCTGATTTATTTTTTCTGTGGGTCTCATTGCTCTTTAAAATAGCCTATTGTTTTTTTTATTTGTTTTAATTAGTTACCCATGACAGTGCAATGATCTTCACATATCATATATTTGAATCAGGTGGGATATAATTTCTCATTTTTCTGAGTGTACAGGTTGCAGAATCACATTTGTTATGCAGTCACGTATATACACACAGCAATAATAATGTCTATTTTATTCTGCTGTCTTTCCTTCCCCTTAGTCTATTGTTTTTTAAATGGAGGCCTTACCTCTCATATAACAAACTCTATGACAACCCCATAGTAATTAATAAAATGTGTTATGTAGGATAAACAAAGAGAAAAATGAAATACTTGAGCAGACATGTGATCACCTGATTTAAGACAATGATGTCACTTTAGAAATAATGGAGATCATCTTTTAGTAAATAGTGCAAAGTAATTTGGGTATTCACATGAAAAAAGTGACCCCAACATTATTCACTTGAAAAAAGTAATTTAAAATTAATTATAGCATTCAACATGCAAAGTATAGTTATTAGTTTGTGAAAATATATCACATAAGAATTTTTTATGCCTTGGAATATGGAAAAGATTAACCAGTACACACAAACTATTAGCTTTATATAAAATATATTGACAAATCAGGCCAAATTAAATATTTCTTGATCAATGTCACCATAATAAATTTTAGATACAAGCATAGATCCCAACTACTATGTATAATCATTGAGCTCTTAAAATTATAAAAAGTAAAAGCATAGAATGGGAAAAGATATTTGCAACACATGTGTCTGAAAAGATATTTCCAGAATATAGAAGATAAGTTCTCCAGACTAATAAGGAAACAGGAAAATGTCCCAAATAGCAAGAATTTCAAAAGAATGTATACTAATGACCAATAAATTTTTGAAAATGGGCATGATTTCTTGGGTGATTGCAAATGCTAATTAAAACCACAAATGATATTACCACACTCAGTAGAGTGGTTAAAACTGAAAAGACAACACCAAATGTTGATAAGGATATGAAGAACCTGGAACTCTCATACTTTGCTGGTATTACTCCAACTACTTTTGAAAAATAATTCATAATATTTACAAAATCTAAATATATATCTTGCATTAATGCACAACAATCTAAAGTCTATGAATATATTCAATATATATTGTGGTAGTACGCCCCCCCCCCAAAAAAAAACCCTCAAAGCTGAAAAAACTCAAATTTTCAGCTACTGGAGAATGTACAACAATATCATGGTATATTCATACATCTGAATAAATACAAATCTACAAGAACAAAACAACTTAGAACAAGATGACACTGGTCATTTTACTTAATAGAATACTGAATGAAGGTCAACAACAGTAACTCTATAGCTTTATTGTATAAAAGTTCAAAAGAAGGCAGAGATAACTATGATAATAGAAATCAGGATAGTGCTTATCTTTTTGGAGGGAGAGTAAAAACAATGAAATAAAGAGAGTACTTGGGTCTTGGTAGTGTTTCAACTTTTAATCTAGAATATTTTTATAGAAGTGTATACACTTTGTTAAAATTCGCTGAGTTGATATTCACTGTGGTATATTCATATATTTACATATGAAAGATTGGTCAGATTCATTCCACTGTTACTGCCCAACCCATCCCACCTTCCTCCCCTCCAACTGCTCTACTGATCTTTCCTCTAGTTTGATGGAATACACCTTTCTTCCAGACATTTTTCCATTAGCTTCTACATACGACAGCAAATATTCAAATTGACTTTGGAGGCTGAAGGAGAAAATTATTTACATGCCTTTGTCATTATATCAAAAAGTATTGTAATCTTATATATAAATAAAAAGAATGAGTGTGAAGTACATACAAGAGGAAAAAAGGATATCAGTTAGCCAAAATCTTTCCCTATGTTTAATTTTTTAAAATGTACTTGCTTGTACACTTATGATTTGTGATATTTTATGTTGGCATGTTATACTTCAAAATGAAAATTTTGTGAATAGAAATTTTTTTAGATATCCATTATAATTTCCTAAATACAATCGAATTATAAACCCACAAGAAATGTTTCTTCAAAAGAAACTTTCACGTTCTTTAAAAGAAAATGAAGAGAATACTCATATATATCACATCAGTCTGTTCTTACAGTATTCTTTCACTGAAAATCAACTCAGAAAACGTTTATTTAGAACATCTAATAACTAGGATATACAATTAAGGGTACTTTTGTGATTAAAGGTTCCTAATACATACCAGCTTTAGAATTTGATCTGAAATGCAAATATTAAAAGCAATAATAAGTAAGGACGCCTGGTGGCGCTGCAGGTTAAGCGTGTGAATAATGGGCTCTGGATGCCACGGACGCCATTGAGCTGGGAATCAGAACTCTGAAAGCTCCACAAAAGAAGGCAGCATTTTAGATGAACTCCAAGAGACGGATCTTCGAAGAACTAATCGTCCTAAGTGCATGCCAGAAAAAAAAATATTTAACTCAAGTTTATTTAACTAAATCATCTGAGTGGATTGTATACCGGGTTGAAGGAACTGCACCTTCTGGACGGATTTGAACAATGCAGACTGCTCTAGCAAAACCCCCGCAGAAAAGGCAAGTCATTTTTCTTGCTATGCTGTTGTTTTTGTGGGAGGCTGACTCTGAGGCGATTAGATACTCCATTCCAGAAGAAATAGAAAGCGGCTACTCTGTGGCCAACCTGGCAAAAGATCTGGGGCTCAGGGTGGGGGAGCTGGCCACTCGGGGAGCACGAATCCATCACAAAGGCA